AAGGCAGCAGCGGGATCGGCGTTAGAGAGCGCCAGCTTCGCTGGAAAACGGTGATAGATTTGGTGCTGTGCCTGGGAAACTGCGTACGCTCGGGGCACAGGGGACTACAGCCTTTGGGGGGGGGTTGCTGGGGGGAAAATGGTGGGGAGGGCATAGGTGCGAGGATGTGCTTGTAAAATGGAGCATTATTGAAATAACAGAAGAGTCAGGAAATCCAGGTTCTTCCCCTAGACTTGAACTTAAGTTTCGTTAGCCTGGGTATTATTACTGCAATTTTTGTCTCCCAAGAAGAAATTTGACTATTAATTCACTAGTGAATATAAAGTGTTTTGAGATCATAGATAAGAGACTTGTAGGAGTGAAAAAGTATTATCTCAGCCTTCAAAATGCTTGGTTCAGCATTTGACCTTAGGTACTAGTTTCTGAAGTGATTTGACTATCCTTAGTCACCTGAGATTGTGGCTCCACATTTTAATACCAGACACTAGTTATTTCCATACCACCATAGCATTTGTGATGTGTGATCCTTTCTGCTGAACTAGTGAAATTCATATACCTGATTACAGTAATGATGAGCATTTAGAAAAGCTTACATAAATAGCACTGTCTGAACATTTCTAATTGAGTTCTCTTAAAGGCTGCCTAGAACTCATCACGACCACATGCAGGGAGTCTGCTCTGTTCAACATTTCTTCCTTGGACAATCATCCGTAAATCACCTTCTCTACTCTTCTTAGGCTCATCCTGTTGCTTTCAGGGAGACCTTTGTTGCCGAGCCTTTTTAATCCTAGGAAGAGGTGTGCTATCCTTTCCATACCATCCAGTTTTGGTAGGCAAGGCAAAAAGAGAGGGACCATGGCCAGGATGGGCAAGGGAGAGAGATTGTTCCTCACTTGCTTCCCTGTTGGGCCAGAAGCTGGGTGGAAGAAGTGTGTGCCTAGAGAAACACAGGCCATGTGGCTCTAGAAACGGGGTGCAGGAGCAGGGCATGCTACAGGCAGGTTGTAACACGCACTTTGGAAACTAGTTGTGATTCTACAAGCTGGTTTGACTGGCCCACATTGAGCTTTCTTGCAGCATGATCTTGACTGTAGGTGAGGTTTCACTCCAGGAACATATTTTGTAACTTTTCAATGTTCATTATCACCAGTTCGCTTTTTGCCCATATTAGGTGCCCTGTCTATACCATATAAAATTCCACATCTTTATTGGTTAAGAAGGTTAACTTACTGGGCAGGCTAGGTTTGGCTTTTGCCCTGCATGTAACGCTTGTGAAAGAAGTATGTTGAGCCCAGTCACTGGGATTAAACAGTGGTCTTACTTGTATTGAAGTTTTTATATAGACCTGGGGATTCTCCCAGTGACTCTGGTATTTCTTTCTCAGCTACTGATTCCTTTTTAAATTTGGGCATTCCACTTTGGGTCCCAGTACTGGTTTCCTCTTGTGAAAAACTGTTGTGTTTTTTTCCTACAAGCCACCTTCAGGTGTCTAGCGAGGTGTCCGCCTGAGTGAATCTGGAAAAAACTCTGGGCTCTGAAGCCAGGGTGAAGCATGCTGTGGGCAGTGTGCGCACAGAGATGCCTCCGTCTCCAGCTTTCCTACCCCACCTGGGAGACCTTTTAGTACTAGTCAAGCACATTTCAAGAACTCTTTAATGCGTGAGCACCCCAATACTTTGATTTTAAAATGTTGTGTAAGAAAGAAGGAAAAGCGACTCCTTGTGTGCCAGTCTTAGCCTTCCTAGCCTTCCCAGAAAGCCTGGCCACATTCATATTATTCAATATATAAGAATTTCCCAATTCCTCCCTGTCTGAAGTCCCTTCCCTTCCATGACTGATTATCAAAGCTCCACAGAAGCTTCCCCTGCACAGGGAAAACTTTGGAGCAGGTTGCAGGACACTTCCAGGTAGCCCCCAGGGACTCAGCAGCAGGGCCCGGGGAGGTGTGGTGTCCCTCCTGAGGCCCTACAGCACACCTGCACTGCCCTGACCCTTTTACAAAGGCCCACTGGCAGCTGGGCCACCTCCTTCAGGGGCTGCAGGATTATTTGGTCATTACCGCAGGAGGAGAATAATCCATAGGATTTCCTTTTGAAGCAGAAACATGTAAAGCAGGGAGGGGCCCTGGAAAGAAAAGGAACACTCTGAAGGTATGTTGCTTTACTAGAGAAGAAAAAATAATCCCGAACCGTGTTTCTCTGCTGGTTGAGTCACTCTCCCGAACAGAGAGCAGTTAGACCTTTCCGTGAGCTGCAGGAGGCTCTTAGTTGCCATTTATCCAGCTCTCCAAATGTTGCTATACAAGTTGTGCTATGGAGCCACATCCGTGATAATAAAGCTTTCCCTTAGCTCCCCAGAGCCAGTGTGGCTGCCGGGGTGCGTGGGTGCTGCCCCTGCCCACGGGTGAGCCTATGCCAGCAGGGATGCTGAGGGCACTCCTGCTCCACAGGCAAGGACTTGGGCCACAGGTCTGCTGGGACTGTATTTAGTCATTCTCCAGCAAATTTAGGGAGAAGGCAGTTTATCATCAGACCTGGAAAGTTAACATGAAACTCCTACCACCTCACTGACATTTTTTGGATCTTCATAGCAAATTTATCTTTAAAGTCTGATGAAAGGTATCATAATAATGTGAATTTCCGTGTAGCTGTGGATTTTTATTTCTAGTATACCTAAATGCCTTGCTGTTGGTTTTTCTGATTTTTGTTTTTCCCCTTAGACACAAATTTCATGTTGATTCACAAAAATCTGCACTTGTAAATTAATTTCTCTAGCACCATTTCCCCAGGTCTGTGTTACTAGAGATTTGAATTTTGTCTCATTTTTATTTCTTTAGCCTTTGCATTATTCCTCAGTCACTTCCAAAGCAGGCATCTTGTTAACCTAACTAGCTCTGAGACTGCTTTGCTGACTAAGTCCACCTGCAGCACCTCTTAGCTCATTCCAGGGTAGGTTAAGCCATAGGGCTACTTCCTATCTTTCACTAGAAATGCTTTTACCTCAGCACTAGCAACCCGTACCAGCAGTCTGCGAGCGACCTATCTGAACAAATTCTCACAGAATAGTTGTGGCTGTACCTCCCCTTGGTCTTCCTTGCTAGAATGTGCTGGAGGGGAAGGAACACAGATTTTTGTCTGAAGAAGTGATTGTGCTTCCATATGTGGGGCTTCCCCAGCACAAAGACCTCTACCTTAGCCTCACTGACTGCAGGGAAAATTGCCACGTTGATTTGTATGTTTCAACAACGGTTTAAAAAATGTTTCCAGCAATACAGGGGAAATACTGGGGCCTTCTCGATTTACAGGTATGTCAATATTCTGATCTTGGTCAACTGGTGTATAAATAGGCACCATGCATAAATCCTAGTGGAACATCCTTTACATTTGAGAAGTTAAAATTATTTTTCCCTCCAAGGAGTTACAGATTGGCATTTTAAATTCCTCCTTTTCATGATCCCAGTAACTTTATGGAAGTAGAGGAGTCTATTAAGTTACGGGATCTTTGAAAGGGACACCAATAATCAAGTCAGTGCTCAATGGAACAAGGTTTTTCCCACAAATCATGACTGATATCTGGGTCATTAGTAGGGTAGCTGCCCATCTCTTATAATGATTGACAGGTTAATAAGGGACCTGAGGCTATCTTTTCACTGCTAGCACACAACCTAACCAATTGCTTTTAAATGATTGCTAATTTGACAGAATATAAGCAGAAGGCATAAAAATATCTGGAATAATGTCTAATGCAGCTTTTACTCCTGGTATTCTGAGCGATCCTGTTTTAGAAAACAGATTAGAACGTAGTTAATAGATTTTAATTTTTTTTAGACACTCAGTTTTTAAGGAAAATCTTGTAGTTGTTCTTTGGTTCAATTAGGAGCAAAAGAGAAGGGAGTTTTGTAATGCAATTGTCCCGTAAAGGAAAATGTTTTAAATTGGGGAGATTATGTGAGCAGACCACCTGTAGGGCATTCATAGCTCTTTTCTATAATGCTCCAAGCCGTGCCTTGCTGCCTGCAGTCTGGCTAACAATGCAGGGAAAAGCTGTTTAAAAGGCTGTTCTCCCTTTTCCCTCTGGTGTTCACTAACTGTTACAAGTCTTCCTCTTTTAAAAAAAAAAAAAAAAAAAAGTCCCAAGTCCCTTTAATTGAAGAACTTTAAGGCTCCATGGTGGCCAATTGGTCTGCAACAAGAGGAACCAGGCAGCAGGGAAAGAAACTTCAGACTATACATCACGTTTGGTGAAGAGAAAAGATCAAAGTTTTCCCAAACTCAAAAGAAACCAAGTTCCCTACAGATTAACCCTATTCATTTAGCTCCTCTTAAAGGAATGATGTTCTGAGCCACTGGGCAGACAGGTAAAAAGTTCAACAATTGCCAAAGCATTCTTCTGTTAATTCAACAGCCTTCTGCTCAAATAAATTAGCTTAGTCCTGACAGAAGAACAATACCTTTTCTGCTGAAAAAGGACCATATTTGATATACAAAAGTTAAGATGTTAGTTTAATCTGTTAAGAAGAGATTGATCTAACAAATCTCAACTCGCTGTTCCACCGTAGTACGTGATCTATGAATTTAAAACGTTAACCTTTTACACTTCAGCATGCATCCCTGGAAAGGCAGGTGCTTACAGAAGTGCAGACAACCGATATGAGAGGCGTGTGTGCACATTCCTAAAATAACACCCATTTTAAAAGGATACTTAACATGCCATGTGAGATGACTCTTTTGTAAAGGCTTAGTTTAAAGACACTGTCGTCTTTCAAAAAGCAGAGGAGAACTATGGTAAGGCACCTCCCCATTTTGGCAAACACTTTTTCAGAACAACTTGTTGAATGACTTGTTTTCCTTGTGTCTGCATATCTCACCGCTTTAACAGAGGCAGCCATCTATTACACAGTTAGCGACTGGAGCATGAATGCAGTTCATAGTTTACAGAACCACCTAAAGACACAGCAGCTGGAAAAACCAGGGCAGGAGTAGGGGGAAAGCTTGAAAAAGTCATTTATCAAAAGTCATTTTATTGACAAAATAGAATACTCATATTTGTTCTTACAGGGGTAGCCTCTAAACTTTTTTACAAAAAAAATTTACAGACTGTATAGCTTTGGATATATACATATTTTACACATCTGTACAAGGTAACAAATAATTATATAAATACATCCTTTAATGTAGGAAACCCGTATTTAGCTGGGGTGTATAATTAAGACATGTTTTGATTCAGTCTGTATTGTAAGGCATTTGCCTGGTCATCAAGATCCCAAAAACCTGCAGTCCTAGCACACTCCCACCGCAGGACGGGGAGGGGGGGGGGAGGAAGACCCTCCCTCCCACGAGCGGGAGAGCTGCTATTAGTCCAGAGTGAATCAGAAGCCGCTGCGCCTTGCCCTCTGCAAGACACGGGTGAGCCTCTACCCTCCTCTGCCAGCAAAATAATAAGCTGGCTCCTTGAAGTACATGCTCCCTGCATATGAATGGAGGGGAAGGAGGAGGGGGCTGGAGCCTGGGGCCTCTGCCAGCTGCATTGTTCTATACAAGCTGTGGCTAATAAGGACCATTAGGGGTTCATTAATGGCACCAAACAGTGAGGGGGCATTTTAGGCAGGCCGGTGTCCCTCCTTCCCTAACCTTTGGCCTCTTTCCCCCTCCTCACACTTGAGAGAGGGGCATCTGCTTGGGGTAGGAGACGGAGCTGGCGGTGCCCGATCTCCACGTCAGGCCGGTGCTGACATCGCTGTAGAGGGAGCCACCGCCTCCGGCGCCAAGTCCTCCCGCCGCGGCGATCGCCGCCTGCCCGCCTGCTCCCGCCCCCGTGCCCCCAGCCACGGCGGCACCTTTGCTGGCCCAGCAGCAGCGGGTGCAGAGGGCCCTCCAGGACTCAAGGGTCTTGCCGGACCAGACCCAGACACCGGAGGTGATGCCCACCACCAGGCACATGAAGTACTTGAGCATGAAGACGGCGTAGTCGGGGCGGCGGGCCTGATCGGGCTGCTGGTCGCGCAGGCAGGGGCAGTTGTGCGTGGCCTCCCAGCGGGGCCGGTTGTGCTGCTCGTAGAAGAGGCAGGCGACCACGCTGGCGGCCGGCACGGTGTAGAGCACGGTGAAGAGCCCCAGGCGTATCATCAGCTTCTCCAGCTTGTGGGTCTTGGTGGGGCCGCCCTGCTGCTTGATGACGCTGCGGATGCGGAAGAGCGAGACGAAGCCGGCGAGCAGGAACATGGAGCCGATGGCCAAGTAGATGAGCAGCGGCGCCAGCACGAAGCCCCGCAGGTTCTCCAGGCTCTGGTTGCCCACATAGCAGATGCCGGCCACGGGGTCCCCGTCCACGGAGCTGAGGGCCAGCACGGCGATGGACTTGACGCTGGGCAGCAGCCAGGCGGCCAGGTGGAAGTACTGCGCGTAGCCGGCGATGGCCTCGTTGCCCCACTTCATGCCGGCGGCCAGGAACCAGGTGAGGGAGAGGATGACCCACCAGATGGAGCTGGCCATGCCGAAGAAGTAGACGAGCAGGAAGACCACGGTGCACAGCGCCGGGCCGGTGCTCTCGTACCGCACGTGCTCGGCCCCCGCCAGCTCGGGCTGCAGCTCGGCCGCGCCGCC